ACACATACATGAAGCCAGGGAAAAAAAAAAACCTCCTTTGGCTCTTCTGTCTCTTCTACTAAGGGCTCAGAAAAATGAGCAGGTTACCAAGCTTAATGAGTTACCACGTATCAGCTGAGCCTGGGGGATGGCACCCAGGACACACACAGTCAACAGCAAAGCCAAGATAAGACACATCAGCTCAAGCCTCAGTGATGGAGGTTTAAATTAATCCATTTAACCTTGAATTTACAATAGGTAAAGAGCATATGTCCTGGGTTAAGCTTAACCCAGGACAGCATGTGTGCAAATAATTGTTGCACCACCTTACACATGTTAAGCTGCAGCAATACAGCTATTTGGTCTAAGCTCCTTGTTTCCATTTCTGGATGCGTAGCGTCTGCACGACAGGGCTGAGACTCTCTTCTGAATCCAAATTCAGCACCACAGCACAATGAGTAGGTCAAAACAAGGATTAAAAAGTCAGGCAGGTCCATAAGGACAGTGCAGCCTGCAGCAACGCTCACTCAGAATAGAGTATTGCACTTTTCTCAGCAATGCATTTTTCACTGCCATATGTAATTAGATGATGAACTTAAGCCATAAGCACACTTCAGTGAAATGACATCTACATTAGTGCCTTCCTTTTGACACAGCAAGATATTCAAAATTGAGCATAACAAACTGGAGAGAATTCAGATCAACAGCTCTGCAAAAGAGCCTCACAGATTGTGCAGTTGATGATCTCCAGGACTGCTGTATAAGCAAGCAGAAGTCTCCACCCGCTCATGCATAAACAAGATTAAAAAACCCAAACAGATGGTGACTTAATCCCCAACTGAGGAACACGCCTTGCTTTAAACCTTTGCTTATACCAGAAAAATCTTCAAAACTGGGTGTCTGTAAGGACAAAGAGTTGCCATTCCAAAGCAGTGTTCTAGTCTGGTGACGTCACTCTATAAAGGGAGACATCCTGCTTTAAATACTGGTTATAGGCCCAGAGTGTTCAACGGGATGGAGCAACCACTGACCGTGCAGAGGGAAAGTGAAAGACTCATGCCCAACGCCTCAAACAGTCCGATCTGAGGAACCGAGGAACAAACAGCTGCCCATCTCCCCTGTACCCCACGATCGCTTGGGGTGGCCTCCTCTGAACCTCATGGCTTATTTAACACATGCTTAGTCTGGTTATTCTGCCTTGGGGACAGTCACATCCACCTTTCACCACCACTCATTGTTCACCCTACAAAAGAATGTTAAAATGCAGAAAGCCAGACAAAACTGCTGCTGCTATTCAGGCAGCTTTAAAAACATGCCTTCTGCTAATGATGTTTCTAAAAAAGAAAAGTGTGAGCTCTCCTGGCTCCCCTTCCCTCAGCTTCTCCTCAAAGGCACAGTGCCTCTCCCTCCCCATGCAAGTCCTACACCAGCCAGGGGAAACCCCCTCCCTGGCTTTGCACAGTAACACATGTGTTTGTATCTAGGACCAGCAAGAAGGGCCAGGCTCCTCTCCCAGTTTCACAGAGGCAGCCACAAGGAGGAATCGCTCCTGTGTGTTTATCATGTAGTGGCAGAGAATTTCCACAGTGCTCTGGCTTTGCCAGACCAAGCCTACCTTGCCACTCAAAATGGGTTTCCTGCTGTGCAGGAGCCTCTGAGAAGGTCCCAGAGCATGCAGAAACCCATCACTGTCTCCAGCTTGAACCATCCCACCTTCCCTCACAGACTTTACAGTTCATTTAGAGTAACATGAAACGTCACCCTCCTGAATCAGTTCACTCCATTTCTATTCTAATGGGACAATTTACCAACTGAAGATGCAGTAGGAAATGTTGAAGGGAGTTTTTCATCTTCAGAAAAATACTCTACCTTACATTGCTCATCTGCCTGAAAGAAGGAAAAAAAATCCACACAACAACCTCAAGATGGTCATTAAAATGTACCCAGGTCATAATTTCATCTTCTTACCAATTACTAAAACTGGAAGAATCATACGGTGTTTAACAAGACCCAAACGTTTTGGTAAATTTTTAGAAAATCCAAAGCAGGGAGCTCGATTTGTATCATTCTCATCATGTTCTCATTAGCAAATACACAGCAGACTTTCCCCCAGCTGCAGAAGACAGGTCCAAATCCATCCTTTAAGGTCCCTAAAGCAACTGGCTGGTAGCTGTGCCACAGGCACAGACACATCCTTCTCCAGGCACAGGAACATTCAAAGATGATAACAGACCAAGGGGACACAATATCTGAACCACTCATGAAACTGCTCACGAGCCTGCTCTGGTCAAAATAAGACCTGGAGTTCAAACGAGCCCATCTCCCTTGCTCTGAACAGATTAGAGAGCAATCACATGAGTGACTCGGACAGCAGAGGAAAGTGTAATGCCTGCAGCAGCTGGAGGAGAGCTCACGTAATGACATCTCCAGTGCCTAATGCATATGGAAAGAATTAGGTTCCTTGTAAAAATACGGGTTCACCTTCCACTCTTTCAGCATCACACTGACAGCCAGGAAGTCTTTTTAGAGTGGTAGACTGGTTTGGTCTCAAGGGTCTGGTATCAGAAACATCCAGACACTTAAGTATTTGCTTAGTGCTACAGGATCTCCATACCTTTAAACCCATGAGCTGACATGTCTGACCCCCCCAATTAGTACTTCATGGAGAATGGTATGTAATTTTAAAGCTAGCTTTTACATAGGGTTTCAAAATAGGTGTTTTTGTTCAAATCTGTACTGTCAAGTGTTATTTCATTTGTATTAAACCAAATCTGAAGTAACAGTTTGACCAATTTTATTGTTCTCCTAATTGTATTAGTATTACATGGTATGAAATTCTCTTATTTAGGCAATTGGAAAAGAAAAATATGAAGTTCCACATGAAGCCAGCATAACACATTTTGCCTAACAGGAAATACACCCTTTTCAGATATTATAAAGCTTGATGTTTTCAATAAGACCTTGATTTGTACTTTTGTGTCAAAATTCACATGTTCATATGAATTGTTCAGACATCTGGATTCCAGTGAAGGGTTTATTTGCATACAAAAATATATTACAATGGAAAAAAGCATTATAAGTTCTCAACTATATAAAATTACAAATATATTTTCATAAAAGCAACTTTAAATTAAAATTCAAGCTATATTTTAAAGCAAAATACAGCTGTGACACTTAAGTTATTCCCTCTGCTGCAATGTAATAAAACTGATGTTGCCAGTTAAATACTTGTAGGAGTTTACAAAGGTTATGTTCAGAAGGTGAATATCTGGGGTAGTAAAGTTATCAGACAAGGGCAGCAGTTCTTGGTGATTGATGTCACTTATCCTTCAGAGGGCTTTCATAGGCAAGCACAACGCCAAACATTCATTTCACATACCTGTAAATACAAAACAAAAAAGATCATTCAGTCCTACATTAAATGAGATTGCACGTTGTTGACACACCAGACACCAGCTTGCTGGACTGCCTGACAGGCCAAAACGATGCATTTTTTTAATTAACATGAGAGCCAAAAAGGTTACTGCATAAAAATTTCAGATGATTACTGTTCTAACAAGTGCAGCAGGCTTGAAAAGGCATCTGTACAAAGTTATGTGTAAATTCAAGCATATAAATACAACTCCTCCTCAAAAATGTGATGATAAATATCATATGGAAGTTTCTCCAGAACTTCAACATATGATAAAGATTGTGTATCACTGTAAAACAAGTGACACTGTAAAAATGACACTCTGCTGAAATAACCAGATTAGATCAGTTGGGGAAAAACCCTCCTAAAGCAGCTGGCAATCCCTGGCCTCAGCTTAGATGTGCCTTGCAAGAGGACAATGAAACCAAGATACTATAGACAGCCCCCTAAGAGTTAGCTCCAACACACTGTGTAAGATAGAGCTATGTAAATATTTGTTGGTTTGGGGGTTTCATTGTTCTACACAAACCTTCAAACTCAGAAGTTTTTCAGAAGAGCAGTCAATTAGGTTTCAGTGGTAAAGACAGAGTTAGCTCAAGTATGCATCCATGACAGAAGTCAGGAAACTAGAAATACATTTCAACTAAGATAAATGAAACCAGGACTAAGACACAAGTAAGAAGACAGGGAACCAGGAAGCTCATAAGGGCAGCTGTCTTAAGTCCAATGCAGATGGCCAAGGCTTCAAGAATTACAGGGAAGGGAAAATACCTAATAAATACAAGAAACTCTCAGTTCATAGTTAATTGATTTAAAATTTTTGTTTGTTTGTTCATGGTGTTATTTAGCTCTAGTCCTACAATCTGTTGTTTGGGGCTCTATAGTCTAGTTTTGTACCAAAAAAAACCCCCAAAAACCACCAAACACCACCACACAAAAAACCAACCGTATCATGTCCCTAATAGCACAGAATACATGGTGGGGAATAGGAGGTTGTTTTTTTGGTTTTGTTGTTGTTTCTCTTTAAAAAAAATCATAATGACAAACCTAGTAGAATAATTGGAAAATACAATTTCCAGATAGTGACAGAAATAGTGATCTAAGTCTCATTCCTGGTAGAGACAAGAACAACCAGGATTTTGATGTTTAATTTACACCAACAGATATAGATATCTGCTCCTTAGTTTTTTCATGAAGCAAAGTCTAGAATTAAAAAAAAAAAAATCATCACTCACCTCTGTTACTTAGCCTTATAATGAAGAAAAAAAAACCCACTTTTTACACAAGTTTTCAGTATGTACCAAAGCGATGTGTTTATTTAATCTACACACTGTCAAGGAGGGCTGAACTGCTGCTGCCCGAGAGGTGGGAATAAAGGTTCATCAGACAACAGCCTCTGTCACACAAGCCAAACCACATACCTTGAACATTCAGGCAAAGATGAGAGTTTAGTTTTGCTTTCTTACCCACATAATGATCCACAGGACTAGCAAACTAAATTAAGCCACATTATATAAAACTATGGCTACCCTTCCGTTTTCCCCCCATACACAGGCTTTCATCATTCTGAAAGTACCAAGTGAGATACAGCCCACTAAGGTCTACTTACTTGCTAGTGTCCTGTCAAGGTCAGCAATGAATTCTTCCAGTTCTTTTGTGTCTCCAAGCTTTGCTGCAATTTAAGAGACAGTCAGTACTGCTTAGACAGAACATTTCTCTGGCCAAAAGAAACACTGTAACCACTCAATCCTCCAAAACATCTTCAGTGGTATCAAACATTCTCTGGATTACTTTATCAGAATAGAGTTGCTGCAGTGTCCAAATGCATTCCTAGAAAACTAGAAAAATTCTAGTTTTTATAGTTTTCTATTTGACAAAAGGAAAGCAATCCCCTGTTTAGTCTCTTTAAAAAGCACAGACTGAAGTGGAGAAAAACAGCTACAGGTCAACCATTCCATGTCCTTGCTACTATGGGATTCTTCCTTATTGCATCTATTCAGATACTGCATTCATGGCCCCAGTCAAATCCTACCCTGTTAGCTCCCAGTCCTGCCCAAATCTAAACTTCTTAAATCATGTCAGTATCAGTGGGTGATGTCAGATCCTTTGATCTTGGTCCATACGCTATAAAATTGGATCCAAACATTCACCTAAATTTCCACTCCTGAGAACACCACTGGTTCCGTTCAATCTAGTTTTACTCCAAGTGGCTTCCTTATCTAACTTCTGTGGTCTATTCCAAGCCTGTTCCAACTCTATTTCTGTCTTTCCGTCTTCTCATCAGGAAGAGCATCTTGACCTAAGTGTAATTCCTTGCCAAGTATTTCCTGCCAGTTTAACTGACTTTTTGCTACTTCTTATTAACTATTACTCATAATTTCTCCCAAGTATCATGCTAATTTAAAAAAAAAAAAAAAACACAAAACATTTTACTTGTTGGGGTTTTTTTGTGACTGGTCAATGTGGAAAATACATGAAGCATGAAAAACTCTTGAGCATGAATCTAGGAAGACTAGTTGTAATGAAAGCACCATGTAGTACATATGTATGTCTGTTCATTTATAGATTAACTCTGGAGCAGATATACCAACGTTAATGGGAATGAAACAAGCTCCAGGGGAGTTACATCAGCTGCAAGGCAGAAGCCACTCTGAAACAGTATAGCTACAAAGGAGGAAAGAACTACTAGGTGCATGGGTTGTATCAGCAGTGCAAGGTCCATACAGATCTGAATAATTACATTAACTTGAATGGCAGCACATGGTTTTGCAGGAGTCACCTGCTGCACCTCTGCATTCAGGATAAGTATTTCTGTATATATAGAGGACACTTAAGCTACTTAGTTGCTTAAGTCAGAAGTAACGCCAGTTAATTCTTAAGTGAGGTATTCCTTAAGTAGTACTACGATTCCTCATCAACCAGAAAATTTTCTGTCATTTTCTTTAGCTTGGTGTTTCAAAAAAACAAAAGAGTTGCCAGGTCACCTGCAAAGAACTGTGGACGTAGTGCGCTATTGCTGTGTATAATCAAGACAATATAACTTTGATCTCTTAACAGCAATCCTTAGTTTTCTTGCCATTTTAAAAAAAAAAAAAAAAAGAGTCAATTTATGCATGTGAATCCTGGCTCACAGAAGCAAGCCTATGTAGTTCAGAATTAGGAAGAAATGCCAACAGTTAAAATTATGTTTACCTCTACATTGAGTTACTGATGGAGATGGCAAGCTTGGAGTGGATGCAGTTGGAGAGTTCAGCTTTTCATCACTGAGGCTGAGACTATTTCTGTAGAGTGAATCTGCACCTGTAAAAAGAGTTACATTATAAAGTAAAATTAACACCTTCTGCAATTTTGCAATAGAATTAAAAAGAGAGAAATGGGACATTTCCTACATTGGCTTCAACATCTGTAGAACTCAAATTTACAGACTTAAAGCCCTGCAGTCAGCATCATTTGGAAAATATTACAGGAATGGCAATTATTTCACATCCACTAAATTAGGCCTGGTATTACCTGCTTGATTCACAACATTCTGGACAATTATGGTTATCTAAATTTTTCTAAAGCTATTAAAGCTGAATGAAGAGCTCCATGACAGGGACAGTCCCCTAGAATGGAGAATATATTCAGCGTTGTCCTCATCCCTGAAGCAAACACACCCATTTCTCCATACTCTGCTGCTTCAGGTCTTGTGCTCTAGATAAACTGTATGGCATTTTTATATTTCTTTTATTCTGTCACTCTGGTGTTCATAAAGCAATAAATCTCTACACAAGATGTTCTGCAGTCTTATTTTAGGTGGTCTTTCAAAGAAAGCTTTTATATGCCAGGGAAAGCAACGGGAAAGGTTCCAATGCTGTTCTGATGTTCTTGGATTTTAGACAAGGCCTTAAGTTTCAAAAAATGATCTTTATCTTGTCTCTTTTCATAAAAAAAAAAAAAAGGAGGTCCATGATGCACAGTGCACACAAAGTATTAGTCACAGCTCCATTGGAAGGAAGAACTGTCATTGTGCTAGAGACACTAAAACTGCTGGTCCCTGCAGTTCTGAGCCAGTGACCTGAAAACTGTAGTTCTACAAAAAGAAACCATTGCAACACGAACATGTCAATTGTCTCAATTTATTTGGCATATTTCCTAGGAAATAAATGTATGTCTCATTATATGATGTGGTGACTGCCACTGCTTTCCACTGAGGCCAGGAACACACATTGCATTTGTCCTTGGAGCTCCAGGCAGTTACACTGCAGCATTAAGTCCACCCAAGCCAGAATTGTCACGCTTCCTTGGACACCTGTCCCATTTGCTATGCCAGGAGATGACTGCCTCAGGTGTCTTGCTGAATTAGCAAAAGGGGCAGGACTGCAGCTCACCTTGCCAAGACCCACACATCCACACCTTCACTGCACGCTGCCACCATGTTTGCAGATATCAAACACAGAGACCATCCCCCAGCTGACTACTCCTCTACCATAAGCTCCCCTCTATCTTTGGGAAGAAGAGTGTGTGTCCACTCACCATCTCCTCTAGCCTGCAGTCCTTACCAGCATAAGAACACCTTTCATAAGGGTATACAGACACAGTGACAAATCAGACCAGACAGGACAAGCGCATCTACTAAGGCTGTCAGCTGCCTCCTCAGCCACAAGCTGATTGTTTCTTCTATGCTAGTTTCCAAGCCTACCTCTGCTGCAATACACACAGAAGAGGCTTCTGAGAGAAGCTTCAACCTGGAATATCTTCCTCTTCTGCACGCCTGTATCTGTCACAGTTCACTCTAACCAGCCTGGATCCTGTTCCAGGCAGCGCACATGCTCCCTGCAGCACTGGGCAAACAGGAGCCATGATGTGAATGACATCTGTTACTTGGGACTATTGCTTGCCCAAATCAGCCACCAGTTGGGATTTCATGTTTAGAAAGTGAGGTACATTTCTTCATGCTAGCATTTTATTGTAATTTCTTTAGCTTCACTCCTCAGTGCCTGAGAACAGTCGCTCTCTAAACCTGAGCAGATCACAACTGAATCTACTTGAAACTTCAGAGATAAGAAAATGCAGAATTTTTGCATTGTAATAATACAATGTAGAATTGAGGTAATTTTAGACAGAAAAATGGAAAAATAAGCTATTTTAAAAGTAGCTCCTAAAAAACATGAAAAACAACCTAAAAGGGCAGGGGAATCTACACTGCTCTGCAGTGACGTGTGCCGCCAGTGCTGTGCTATGCAATATGAACCCCATACGTTAATGGACTGAAAGTAACAGCTAGAGGTATTACAAATTTCCTCCTGAAATCAGCTTACAGACCAACGTTCTACTAAAACCACATTTTTCTTTTCAGCCAAGATGCAAACCCTAGTGACCAAGAAACTCAGAATGTAAAATTCTAGCTGTTCAGGACAAAACCCCTACCATCACAGAAAAGCCAAATAACTCAGAACACCTCGCACAAACACTCCTGTAGCCAAGTGTACAATTCACAGAAACACTGACAGAACAGATCAAAGATAAAACACTGTCCAGGTAATATATTTGAAAAGAACAGAACAAGAGCTTTCAAATGATTTTGTATTTTAAAGCTAGGTGAATTAATGAAAAAGTAAACCAGAGAACAATTAAAGGTTATAAAAGTGAGTGTACTTTTAATGTGGAGTCTATGCTACTAATATCCAGACACCAAATGTAGAGATGCTGGGAATTTATATTACAAACCAATGCTTCTCATACACCAAAACCAAAGCTCTGGTTGCTCTTATTTATAGCTGGAATAAAACGTTCTTTTTGTGAATGCTTGTGAGGGCAACTCAAATTACAAAAAGTTTAATAATCCATTTAAATTTGCCACAAACTACTCACACAATTTTTGACTTATATCCATGCACACATCTGAGCTAGCAGTCACCTTTGATTCTTTTTGTGGCTTTCTCTCCATACTTCTCGTACAAAGAGTTGAAAATACTGACTGTCCACCTCACAATGTATTGAAACCAGAAAATGTTCTTTCATACTGACTTTCACAAACCTTATGCTGGGAAATATTCACAGCTGGGCAAAGAGAAAATAAGACAGAACTGCTGCTTTAAATATCTGAATGTTTTTCTTCCAGTTTCAAAAGGTAAAATCTTTTCACAAAACAGTGTTATCTTCTGATGGGGTATAATATTAATAGTTTCAGGAAAATATCAACACTTATCGTTCTCAAAAAGCAAAAACATACTTTAGCTACTGGCTGTGGCATACACGTTCCATCAAGCAGCAGAAATTCTGATGATGGGAAGGAATGCATTGACTCTGACATCAAGGTCATTGTAACTGCTGAAAACAATATGCTGTTAAAAAAAACACTTGTGATATCCATCGCACAAAAATACCTGCTTTGGCAAAGTGTGGCTGTAGGACAAAAAGCTCTGGGAAAAGGACACTTCAGTCCTTGCTCTCTACCAGCTGCCATGGCCAAGATTTGCTCATTCACCTCCAATAACGGCCCACTGCCACACAAATACAACATCCATTGCAACCCAATAACCAGAGGCTGATGCCAAGGTTCTCTCATTGCTGCTGTCCCTCCTCATCCAGCCTCTTCTCTCCCACTGTGATGCAAGTTTATCCATCATTCATTACTTATTTTTCACTTTGCATTTTGATTCTACTGCCTATGCACACATATAAACTATGACCCTTTGGCTGTTAAAAACAAACAAACAAAAAAAGCCCAACAACACACCACACTCTAAAATGGCCTCTTTTTTTGGGAAGAAAAAAAAAAAAAAAAAAGCCTTAAAATCTGAGAGTGAAGCTACTGGGTTGATTTACATGAGTCAAACTAAGCCAATAGCTGCAAAATTAGGGGGTTGGAATAAATATGGGTGTATTTTACTTTGGCAAAGTAATCTGTAGTTACTATTGACCTTTGCTGTTCCAGTACAGGGTTAAACCACTAAGAAAAACCATGGCAATACCACATAAATACAGAATGTCCCCCTGAAATGAGCAATTGAAAGGTTCTGGGCAGTAATTAACTGAAGGAGGAAAACGTCAAACTTTTCATTTTAAAAGAGACAATGGAAAAGCTCAGCTGTCTAACTTCTTTAATATTATCAGGATACAATTTTAAAGAGCACTGGAGTTGGTAAATTTTTACTGCAGTTTTCAGTGGGGAAAGTTTTAGGGGAAAAAATAAATCACATCCCTAAAGTTTTCAGAGATGAGCTTTAAAATTCCACTTAAATCTCTACACACCATGAATCTATTATAAAACAATAGTCCAGCATTTAATGAACAGACTGCACAGCTCATTCCTAGTCAGAACAGGGCCTACGTTCTAAAAAAACTACCAGAAAAAAAAATCAGGAATTTCTAATGCCATCAGTAGAAGTGAGAAATATTCATGATGCAAAAAGCTTGTTTCACAATACATATGCTGCAGCCCTCAAGGGTAGTGTTTATTTTCATCGTAATCACAGTTACACTTGGCTGCGTTGTTTATATTTTGTGGGCTTTTTGCCTAGCTAACATCTGTTCCAACACTGGCACAAAAATCACACCTTTTCACTATCAACATATCTAGGCTTCATGACTTAAAAGATTTAAAATCATATAGTTGAAAGGAAGTGATCTAGGAAGCCAGAAATTCAGACATACAAGCATGCCTTCTCACAATGTACAAGGCTCACCTTCCCACTCTCCCACCACGCTTACTATCTGTGAGACAGCATTTCCGACTCCAATCTTCCCCTTCTCCTAGTGTAAGAAAGAAACAGGTACACTGGAGAGGTAAGAATATGAAATCTTACAAAAAAAAGCATATTTGCCATTAAATTGAAATAGCCAGAGAGAAGCCTAGGCACCTGAAAATTCTGGGTTTCCTCCCCCTCGGATGTATCAGTAATTTAATTAAATATTTCTCAGATGATTTAATAAAAGGTTATTTCTCCATGAGAGTCTTGCTTTATTTTTTTCATTATAAATATTGTATTGTCTCCTTGTTAGAGACAGGCCATTAGAAATTCACAGAACAGACCTATCTCCTTAAAATGTTTTCCTCTTCATCATTTAAGACTGGGATTTGCTGCTAAGACCAAAGGCTCACCTATTCCACATTCTGTCTCTCACAGCAACTCTAGCAGATGCTCATAGAAAAGTTTAAGAGTGTTGCAGCCACATGCTGATAATTTCAAGACAAACTCTACCAAGTTCTAGCAACGCACAGATCAGTATGCTTCCTAAGATAATTGTAGCATCAGCCTACAGCAGTCCCTGATGGCCCCATCCCTCCTGTCGTGATTTTGTCTAGTTATTTTTTGCGTATGTAAACTTTTAACATCCACAATACCTTAAGGCAATATATTTTACAGTTTAGCTGTACACCATGAGAAGAAATAGCTCTTCTTATTTCTTTGAAACACACTGGTTTAATTTGATTTCCTCATACTGGGTGAGGTAGCAGTCATTTTCCTAATGTCACTCAGGATTTTCTGGAAGACTAGCTTGTCCCCACCCAAGGCATCTCTCCTGTGGGCCAACAGTCACAGTCTATTTAGTCATTTGGAAACTATTTTACGTCTTCAATAATTTCTGTTACCTTTTTTCTGTACCTTCTCTACAATCACATATTGCACAACTGCAAAGGTAAATGGGCTTTTCAGGATGAATGCTGCAGTATTAACAGTGGCTTTACTTCTATATAGCAGAAGCATTGGCACAACCTCATGGAGACATCCACGGCATGTAACCACAAACGCTGGCATTGTGCAACCCCTTAGTACACCTGCACCTGCCTGATTTTGAAATTATAAAATTAAGAGTTCTAGATACACTCAGGGCCTTTTGTTGTGTTTAAAAGCCGGGAGGTATTTGTCAGCAAGCATTTACACACTCCTAAAAATAACTACAAAGATACATTGCGAGCTGCATGAGTGTGAGATCTGAATAGATGCATTTATTTTGCAATGCTCTTAACAGAGAGGCTGGAAGCTGAACCTATCTCAAGAAAACACATCCAGAGTTGTGAAACATTTCTGAGAGCACAACAACAGATTACCATTTAGCTCTTCCTGGTAATAGCTTTGGCAAAAGAAATTTTAAAGCACTTCCCTTCACAACCTCTCATAAAGTCCAACTTTCTATTCATTATCCTAAGCCTAAACTTCTAAGACCATCCTGACACTGCCATATACTGTACTAACACAATGCACTGAGTGGACATACAAGTTACACAGGCAAGCCTGCGCTTTTCTTTGCAAGCTTATTCCAACACACAAGAAGCAAATGATACCTCTAAGGTTTCATAAACATAGTCACATCTACACTGGTGGCTTTTGCCAGAACAGCACTCACTAACACAAAGCCTATTTTAACACAAGCAACATACGTTGTAAATAGTAAAGAGTTATTAGGTATTCCTCAACTTAGAAGTTTCAGCATGATTAATAACCTAAAGTATTTTGATTCAGTTGAATACATCAAATTGAAACATAACTGGTACTCACTCACAGTCCAGCAACTCAAGAATGTCTGTTGGAGTAACTCAGCAGTTGCATCATGATTTCCAGCACTGACCCAATCCGCTGCTGTGGGTAATGTAATTACTTGCGGGCCAAGTACTAAGATCATCATGAACATCTGCACGTGAGCCTCTCTGTTACTGCAAGGTCTAGAGTCCACTGTGTTATGTACAATACAGCCAAGACAGACCTTGCCCAAAGATCGTTTCATCAAATAATAGGACAAGATCACAGAATCACTGAATGTTAGAGATTGGAAGGGACCTCGAAAGATCATCTAGTCCAATCCCCCTGCCGGAGCAGGAACACCTGGATCAGATCACACAGGAACGCATCCAGGCGGGCTTTGAATGTCTCCGGAGAAGGAGACTCCACAACCTCTCTGGGCAGCCTGTTCCAGTGCTGTGGGAGAACCAAGTACTATCATGACCATTTTCCACAGTAGTGTCTTCAAATTCTTATTTTTTTCTTAAGAGCCTGAAATATGTAACATAAGAATTTCAATTAGTACTTTTGGAGCAAGGCCCCTCAAGAGGAGGTTTTAAGGTCAGAAGCAATATTTGCAGGGTTAATTATATTGATAAAAATCTTCTGCAAATACTTCTGTTAAATTAAATGGGCTTATCCTCATGGCAGAAGACTCAGGAAAGGAAAGGCTTTCCTTGTCCTACTACAAAACAGCATTGTTCGAGTACGATCACTCGATACTGGTTACTTGCTTCTCATTAAGTTGAATTTAAGACTGATTCAGGGGCCCTGAAACAAACAGTTGCAACAGTTCAAAATGTCACCTCCCCTTACAGTCCCACCCTAGACTCAAAAGCTATCATTACAGAAGCGGTCAAAAGAGACACATGCCTAACCTCCAGCCACATCAGTTAGAAGGACTGGATGAACCAACGAACATGAAGAGACAGCACTAAAATGCAACAGTCTGAACTGTTCTGTAGATACACAACAAAGTGGACTTGGAATAGTCTTGGCACTGGACAACAAGATTTTCCAAAGATGTAAAGAGCCTTCATGAACAAGAGGATCATTCAACCTATCTGCAGATAATATTGTCAGAATTTCTTTTACATTGCTACAGATTCATGTTGTCAGAACTTGGTCTTCCAGTCCAGTTTCTCCTTGATCCTGCAGTGATGTTTAACCTCAGCATTACCATGGGAAAAGAGATGTCATGAATTCAGCACTACATTTGTACCTAGTGACAGAGACCAAAGGAAACATGAACCTAGGGGAAAAACCTTGACTTTGAACAGAAAGAGTCTGCGTAAGCATTCTATTCTTAAAATAGATGTGGGGAGTGTAGCTGGATTACATCGGACTCTGGAGCCTGTTTTATAAAAGGAGCTCTGCAACTCTTCTCCAACTCTACTGTAACTTCAAAATAAGAAGCTGTCCACACGGAACAATGCCTTCAGGAAGAAGAGTTTTACTGGTCATGTTCTGAGAAACAAGGAGAGATTTTTCTGTTTCACTTCCCTTAAATATATCCACATATACCTGACACTGTTGGATGCCAACAGGTCACCCTCAGTGCACCCATTGGCCCAGTATGTGCCAGTTTCTAGAAGACAATGACTTCCGATTTCTCCAGAGCCACCTTTCACATGATGTATCACCAAGGGAGGATGGGATTTGGGAGCCTGACAAGCTTGTTATACAAGATCCTTGAGGACTTTGTAGAGATCCATCAAACCCTGTCTATCCTGCTATCTGTTAATGTCTTCAGCCTAAATCACTGCAGATTTCTGACACCGATTTTTATTTTCCAGATCCTTCCTGAAGATCCAGTCTGCCCATTTGCATGAGCATGCTGTTTCTCAACAGGCCTCCTTCTCTGTCAGAAAACACTTTCATCTTCCTCAAAAGGCCCTTCCTGTCCATCCTAAAATAGTAATTTTAAGCACTTGTGAAGATTTAAGTTTTCTAAACCATAGCAGATATGCTAAGCAACTCCAGATGGCGTTAGCCATGCAAGAAGATTAAAGTTCTTGATACTGTTTTGGTTTTTTCTTGTTATCTCAGTGGTAGATTATTTCACTGGATAATCTTCCCTCTATCATTTAAGTGTCTCATTTGTGGTAAGAGTATTTGAGAGGTTAATAAACCACAATACTGAAGACTGCACAAGAAATAGTAATACTAGGGCTGTATTGCTGTAGTTAATAATATATTCAGATCTACAACACAGCTCACGTATTTCATCAACTTGACTCAGTAAAGGCAGACCTCACCTTACATCCCTGGGGCCATCCAAAAGGTTAGTGTCCAGCCTAAATCAGGCATGCATTTCTAAACCTCCCTCAGAAGGAAAGAGATACTTGGAACGAGTGATTCACCCACTACATTAAGAAACAGCAGAGTAGCGCCTGGATCCACATACCTCCACTGACTACAGAAAAAAAAAACCTCAAAGGCATTGCTAGGCAAGGTATCTGAATTCAAGGCAGGTAAAATGTTGCCTATCGATGAAATGAAATTAATCCTACCACTGATGATGAAATAAAGTGCTCTGATAACATGGAGAAGCTATGCTCTCACATCTTAAGCACTGTGAAGATATTAATGTTTTAGTGCTAAGTCAACAGACTGTGTGGTAAGTTGCTGAAGAGAGGAAGATGCACAACAGAAACGAACAAAGCTATTTTGTTATAAGTAACTGAAAAACAGGTAAATTTCATGCAACTCTCTGTACAGTTCAGGATCTGAAAAAACTGGGTATAGTTTGTTTTTAGCAGAACTTACTTCTGATGAAGTAGCCCTTAAGTCTATTGCTCCCAAGGAGCACAGCAGTTTTCAGCCTCACTGTCTGGAAGAGGTAAGATGTTTTCTCTTCCTAACTAGTGTAAAAAAAAAAAAAAAAAGAAGAGAGGTAAAACTTCTTTCTAAGTTAACTAGAAAAAAAAAATAATAAAAAAAAAAAACTAAAACCAAACCAAACCCAACCTTAGCTCCAGTTCTGTGTTTTCTTGCTCAAAGCAGGTCATGAGTCAACATCTGTTTCCCGCCCTCCTTGTACTATTTCTGCATGCCCCATTCCTATACATTCAGTACGCCTGGATGAAAGTTACCTTAAAATTATCACCTCTGAAACACTGACAACACTAAACCAGAAACACTGGGTGAGTTTCAATCTCTTCTGGAAAGCACACTTCAGTTCACCCTCTCTCAGCCCATACTTCAGCTACTGAGGTACAACGCACAGCCTCTGTAAACCTATCAGAATTT